ATCATCACATAGTTATCATCATGATCATCGTATCATCATCACTTCATTATCATGATCATCACCATATCATCATCATCACTATCATATCATCATCAGCAGTAACACATATTCAGCATCGTAATCATCATATCATCATCACCACTTCATCATCAACCTTTCATCCTCATTATCACATCGTACACTGATCAACAACAGAGCTGTTTATTATTATTAGTGTTTTGCCTCATCATCATCTATTCACACCTAATCCCCAAACTTTATTCAAAATTATATGTTTTCAATAGTGTAATCCCAAACCAGAAGTGCAAGCATGGATTGGGAGTAGCGAGATACGCCCCACATAACAGCCTTTCCATGTTGCAACTTCTGCTTATTTGAAACAAAATGTAATTCACATTAAAAAAAAAACATAAAAAAAGAATGATGATTCTTTGTTATCTGCCCTTGTTGTCAAAGATTACACAGAGCATAGTACAGCCAGACTAAATGATAGCATAGAGGAAATATCAATAATTAACATTATACATAGATTGCTCTCTCTCACTGAATCATTCTCTACAATTACAGAAACAGACAAAGCGATGAAAACAGAAATAGGAAGATAAGGGATGGGGAGGGGGGGAATGACATAAGAAGTCCATGGGATGTTGAAACAATTTTTTTGTTAAAGACAGTGAAACAAATATATGACAGCACTGTCAAGGATAAAAAGTATTATAATTATTTAAATATTCAATTGGATAAGGTTTTCCCATTTTTTCCAATCATTTGTGAAATTTTGTTTGTAAGACGTGTTTTTGCTATTTGAAATATATTTTTGAACAGAATAGTGATTTTGTATAATCTTTACAATGGCGTTGATATTGAGAGTAGCATGGAGGCATCTTGTTTTATATATATAATGTTTAATCATAAGAATTACTTCATTGTCAACTCTAAAGCTAGGGCTATTGTTCCTTTTAATTCCAAGTATAAAAGACTGCTTGTTGACTGAGAATGGTATTGATAAAGAATCTGTTAGTGTTTCAAATGATTGTAAAAAGTTTTGCACTTCCTGACATTCCCAAAGAAGATGAGTGATCTATTCTCTTTCTGAGTTGCATAGATTACAAAGTGGACTGGACTGCCTTAAAAAGCCTACTATTAGTTGTCAGAATGTGATGAGAGATCCTATACTGGAGCCATTGAAGTTTAGTATTTTTTGTAATTTTAGGAATTTTTTAACTGCAGAAATGATACCTTGATAGTTCAAAAAGTTAGTTGTCACATTGTATATTCTCTGAAAGTCTTGAAAACTAAGAAAATTATTAGTATTACCAGCTTCTAGTAAGTCTGCTATTGTTCTTATCCCTTTTCTATACCATTGCTTATAAAAAATTGATTTTCCAGATAGAGTGATATTTCTATTAAACCATATAGGTATTTCCAAAACTGATTTTTCCTTTCCTGTACACCTTTCAATTGTTGCTTGTAGTTTGTACCATACTCTGAAAACATCTTTCCAAAATTTATTTTTGATTTCATTTTTGCAGTTTTGTATATACTCACCTCCAATATTCAGTAGGATGTCAATGTTTACATTAGTCTGTAATATTGCAGACCACTTACCTGCTCTATGATAAAGTCTCCTTACCCAACTTAGTTTTAATGCATCTGCAAAGGCTCTTATATTTATCATTTTTAAACCACCATTTATAAGGTCTTGCATCACTACATTTCTCTTGATTTTGTCTATTTTACTACTCCACAAAAATTCAAATATGATAGATTCGATTGTCTTAAATGCTTTTTCATCGGGATTTGGTAAAGCTATAAAGAGGTGGTTGAGCTGAGAAATTAAAAGGGATTTTATTATGTGTATTTTACCTATTGGTGTAAGATTTCTTCTTTTCCATGTATTTATAAGTGCTTTTAGCTTTACTATTTTCTTGTCATAATTAATTTTTGGCATAGCATGAAGATTGACATCAAATTCTACTCCTAGAAGAGTAAACCGCTCTTGCCCCCATTGTAGATTCAAATCTGGTAAAAAAGTATCTTCACTATACTTCTTAGACCCTATCCATATAATCTGGGTCTTATCAATGTTTACTTTAAGACCTGAAATGCTAGCATATGTATTAAGTTCTTTTAAAGATTCCGATAATGATGGTTCAGATCCATCAAGTGTGAAAAAAGTGTCATCAGCGTATTGAGATAGCAAAATAGGAAGCTCACCTGCTTTGATGCCTTTAATTCTATGGTTATTTCTAATTCTAATCACTAGAACTTCAGCACAGAGGATGAAAATATAGGGTGCGAGCGGGTCGCCTTGTCTACAGCCCCTTCTAATATCAAAGAAAGCAGATAAGTTACCTCCCTGGTTAATTGAAGCTGATACATTTTTATGTAGCGTTTTAAACCATACAATAATATCATTTTTGAATCCAAAATAGATTAAAACCTTTTCAATAAACTTCCAAGAGACAGAGTCAAACGCTTTTTCAAAGTCTACCATTAAAATCATACCTGGTACATCATTTTCTTCTGCATATTGCATTAAATCATATAGTAGTCTAGTGTTTTCTCCTATATAGCGTCCCAATATAAAACCAGTTTGATCCATATTAATTAGCTTGTCTAAAACTGACTTAAATCTATTAGAAATAACCCCTGATGCTATTTTGTATGTAACATTTAATAAGGATATTGGACGCCAGTTTTTAATCAAATATCTAGGCTTATTCCCTTTAGGAAGGCAGGTGATCACTGCTTGTCTCTGAGTAACTGAAAGTTCTCTATGTGAATACCCATGATTTAAAGACCTGACAACATAAACACCTATCTTATTCCAAAAATTTTTTTAAAATTCTGCAGTGAACCCATCTGACACAGGACTTTTGTTGTTTTTCATATTCTTTAAACATTTACTGGCTTCTTCTAATGTGATTAAACCTTCTAAATTTTCAGCTTCTGTTTCAGAGAGTTTAGGAATACTGTTAAAATTTAGATATTCATTTAAATTAATGTCTGTAATAATTCCTTCTTCATATAGATTCTCATAAAACAATTTTACTGTTTCTAAAATCTCTTCCTGTTTTATAATTATGTCTCCTTCATCTGTCTGAACTTTCGGAATTATTTTTGATGTAAAGTTTCTATTTTCTAATCCAAAAAAATAGCTTGTTGGTTTTTCCCCTTCCTCTATCCATTGTGCTCTAGATCTCACTAAACTGCCTTTCATTCGAAGTATTCTAATCTGCTCTAATTCTCTTTTCTTAGATTCTATCTGGTTTATATCAATATTATCCTCATTTTCTAAAACCTCAAGGGGTCAGGCCTACTGGTAACATAAAATTGAATCTATTTCACTCACGAATTCTTCAGACCAAATTTGGACAAAATAACTTCATTCAACGATTCTTTACACCACATTTGGACACCACCCAATCATTCATCAAGAGGAAAGAATTGAAAGCATTTGTATTTATCTCCCATTGAGCAAAGACCCTCTGACCCCAACGGGACGGGACCTAGTATTTGTACAAGAATGGTTCCCCATTACCGTAAGTAAGACCTTACCAATCAGAAAGAAAAGATTCTAAAACAAAATTAATTATTTTTGTTAAATCCCCTATCGGGCCCATCTCTATTGCCCAAGGAGGGTCAGACACACCATTCATGTAGAGCTGATCCCTTTTTACCCATGAATATTTCAAACCAAATTTTAAACAAAGTTCAATCATTCCTACAGAAGGATTTGCTATATTTCGTCCCGGAGGGAAGCTGGTGATAGGATGGGGTGGGAGTTGGGGTCAGATCTACCGTACCGTTTATTTACAGTTGAAATTGCCTTCGTCATTAATGACAAGTAACGATTTTTCAGCAAACAATTGACAGACGACCAACGACGGGGACACCACGGTATGGCAAAGGTTCATCGGTCGTTCGAACCTGGTTATCTTATAATACTGACATTAAGAAAGCATATACATAATGTTTTGCATGCAAACATTTTTATTGGAATTGTTCAATATATATGTTACTTGTTTCTAGTACCGTTTCTGCATTACGACACTATTAAGGGTCTTATAATAATTTTGAACGACATTCTTTCAAGGAATTTACATAGTGCATACATCTGTAACAGTCAAATATGAACAACAATTTCAGCTGCATTAAGGAAATCGCTCAACACGGGTTTTCTTTGAGTAGCTGCATCATAGGTCGCGTATTTCGTACGACTGCCGGCATTAATTTCAAAATTAACGATTACGGTTCATATTATCCAAATATTTCTTATCGGGTTCTTGCTCTTTTCTTCATTGTTTATAGAGGTATATAATGATTTTTGTACAACCGCCTTTTAACGCATATTTTTTCATCACTTCACTCTAACAGTCATATGATCACCTGACACCAACTACTACTTACCTCCCTATTCAACACAAAACTCAACACGACAAAGTTATCTCAATAATACATAAATATACGTGCACATTATATATTAATCAGGCATAATTTTGTCCTTTCGTATTCAATTAAATATGAAAATATAGATCAATGTAAAATATATATAAAAAGTAATATATATATATATATATATATGTATGTCATGGATTTGCATGTATGGAAGTTTAAAAATATGACACGTATTAAGCAGTATTAACGTGTAGTTCCTGCAATGTGATTTATTGAAAAACGTTGTGCCTGAGAAGCCGATTTACTTTCAAAAAACACCATTAGTTCCGAATGATTTGAAGTTTTCGATCAACCCAATGCAAAATATATGAAATTGACCGAGTATGATCTTGAATCTGAACAGAATGATTAATATCAATCCTAATACAAAAATCTGTAACAGATGGAATTGGGTTTTTAAAAAAATACAGAATTGAATATAGTAAATTGCAGTAAATATAAATACAAAAATAAAACCTCTTTCTGGTAAGGTATGACGAATATATGTTACATATACGAAATACATATACACAAGATAAAAATAGATAGAACACATCTCTTTGTATAGTCAAATAACACATCATCGTATAGAAATTATTGTCTTAATTATGGTATTATATTAAAAAGCTTAAATGTGATGTAACCAAGCAAACCTGATTTCATATTTTAAAAATCTAACGAAAGGACTACAGGCTAAGCATTTTTTTTAATTTCTGAGCAGATATAAGATTTCAAAACGTTTTGAGGTATTAGATTCTTAAGATTAAGATTTTTTTCACCCTGGATTCTCACTGACTAATGTTTTATGTGACCCTTACATTAAACAATGAAATAGCGACTGAAGTGTCTGTGTAAATGTGCATCGATAAATTAGTTTAAATCATTAAAGCTAAGTGTAATATTTCTTTGTGTGTATAATTAAAAGGTTAAAAAATGGTCTGATGCAAATGCTATCTAGGTAAATTATAGTCAACATTCACATTTAACACATAGCAAATTGCGAACATGGAAACATTGAAAACATATCTCTAAATATCATTTTGCCAATGTATGCAGTTAAACAATAGTGTAAGTGTCTGCATGTAAATAGTTAAGTCTTCAATACAAACTTATACTGAGAATACCATTTGTTACACATTTCATATAGCATGCACAACACAATAACAATGATATAATGATTTGAGAATATATATAAGTTTTTTATGTACAGCTTTATCGAAGTAACATAACGGTTTCACAACTGTTTACCATTAAGTATCCATAGTTATGAAGTATCTTTCTACTTCGGTTATAACCTCATCAAACGGAGACGTTATTAGGCGTTAACATCGTGTACATATTTTTGGAACTACCAACATATGTTCTCTTTTACAACAAGAAACCAGTAAAGTATATTGTCCCTTGAGATAACAAGGCGCTAATGTTCTGAGGCAAACAAGTGTTAAACATTTACCTACACTAATATACCACTTAGTTCTTAAGTAGTAGAACCTTTGACTAATACTTATGAATGCATATATTTCCACTTGCTCTTTTTGCGAAGTATCAATTCATGTGAATTGCAGTGGTATATAAGTAGTTGAAAAAAACTATTTACAAGTCGATAGTAAAAGTCTACACTTTTGTCAAATAAAGACGCATTTGCATTGCGGTAGTCGGTCGCTAGCTAGTTGTAGTATAATCTACTTGCTAATGAAAAAGAGTCGCACTCTATTGTACAATTACGACTTAGCTATGGGACTATTGCAGATTCTGTAGACTCATATCGAATTTTCCGTCTCCAGGTTTTATTCACTGTCACTCCGTGAATCTTCTTAGTTGATGTACACGTCGGTTGCCTCTAGATAATCATTCAAGAGGGCATAGCAGAAGTGATACTGCTCCTGTGAACGAATGACATTTCAAATTTATCTCACGGAACGCTACAATTGTCTTACCAAGTTCCAACTAAACGGGAAGAGTTATTGACATATTTTGACATTCTGATACCTTTACGGTCAATAAAAGCGTTTATGAGTTTTGGTAACAAGACCTCGTGTTGTAAACATTTTTTTTTCCAAATTTTTACTTACAAAACTGCTCAAAAACTCTGGTCGCCTGATAAGAAGTTGTCGTGCAGCCTGAAATACATCCACTTCCTCGTCCATTTTGATCTGGTCACGGGTGTTCGCCATAAGGCAAAATAGTCCACATTGGGTTGACCCGTCCCTGTCAAATTAAAAACAATCAAGTTAAAAAGATGTGAAACAAAATGTAACCATGCCGACGATCATCAGGTGACCATCGAGCATATGTGCTTCTGGTGATAAGCAATATTTGAACTTTGAATAATATGTAATCACTGGCAGTAAACCTATAAGAATACAGCTTTCGGCCAAAGGAGACGAACATTTTTATATAAGAAAGTCGTGCAATAAAAAATCTATAACTTACTTGCACATGACAACAACAGGTTTATTCCCACTTGACCGGCGTCTGCTTTCCACCTGTTCCAGAAGGTGAAGTATGGATTGTTTTGATGAAGGAAACTGTTTTTCTGTTGTCCACTCCTTCAACCGGAATATTCTCGAACTATGAGCTGCCTTTACATTCTGGAATTTCAAACAAGAATTATGCAATTTAACAATGCAAATTCTCACTAAAAGAGTTTTAACATGATAAACTTGGATATGTCATTTGTCTTAAAGATAAAGACTACCGATTAGGAAGAACGGGTTAAGACAAAGATATGCGTTACATTGGCGTTGCATCAGAATCTTAGTTCAGGTTGCGTGATAAATACACTCTCATGCTGACCAAGGGCACTGTAGCAGATTCACGTATCAGCTCAGAGATACAATAAGCAATACCTTTCTCTTTATTGAAACATCCATTACATCCACGTCATTAAACTCAGTTGGTGAGCCCGTTTGCTTTACGTTTAAATCACCAATATCAATGCCGATTTTGCCTTCCGGTATCCATTGTGCATCCTGTGAAAATTAACAATAAATATTATAGCACAAATATTTATAGAGACCGTGTAAACTAACGGAAAATATTAATACTCATTTTCCCCCACTCTGTACGCCCAGAAGCTAGGACCAAACCACATGGGTCTATTATTTGTTTTCGTGCTCGCAAATTCCGAAAGACTTTTTTCCATGAAATATGTAAAAGCAAGTTTTCGGTTTAAGGTAATTGAGGTTTACGTCCATCATACTTGAATCGTACCTGTCCGGGGTCCTTTTCGTTCCCGAGTATGACGATTGTGTCACACTGGTAGTCCATCACAAGGGTCCAGAGGTCAGCTCTGGTGTCCGTTAGGGGAAACTGAGTAACGATGTATCCTTGTCTGCACGTGTAAGACTAAAATATATATGTATGCATATAAGAAATCAAAAGTTTCACGCCAGGTGGTAGTTGGTGATCGTACCTGAATGTACTATCACCAACAGACAAGAACTTCACTAAAAAATACACAACAGAATCTACGTGATACTGGTAAAACGTGTATATACATGTAATTTTCAAAGCATACAAGATAAACGATGAGAACAAGAAGAAATCTTATAGACCTAACATTTAGTGATATGTTACCGTAATACATAAATGTCAGGAGTCAGAATACAGCTGGTTGAGAGGATTTCCTATCTACAATACATATACAAACCGATCTTTTATTTCATGGTATATGGTATCCTACCTGTGTTATGACAGCATTGATATAGTCATTCCGGTTAGAAGGATATGATTCGAGAAAAGCCCTGAATCTATCCGCTGGAAGTAAAGTTTATATCGTTCATAGTAAGCATCCGATCTTTGTATTAGCTTAAGCTTAAGTCTTCCAGAGCACATTAGAACGTAATCTTTCTTCTTATATTCTTTAAAAAAAATAAGTAATGGCATTGTTTCCTTAAACAAAAATTCTTTAAAAACGGTATAATTTTCTCTCTTAATTGTCATGTAAACTTAAATGTACCGAAGAATTCATCAAAAATATTTAAATATCAGTTACCCAACAGCATTTTAAATGCGTGCTTTTTAAATCAGTTCTCATTATATATACCTGCCAATATTCGCATCGTCCTGTTTTTCGCACCGTTTTCTGGAAGTGAAGAAGCCAAGAAGTCTTTTTCCAGCTTGTAATCGGGTTTGAGATCCAACATCAACTAAAACAAGTTTAACAATATATTGTTTGCATGTGACTTATGAATCGCATATATTTTTGTTGTTAAATACTAATTATGTTTTAAGCATGATGTCAATTTTCCGTGACTGTCGAACTCCGATGAAAATTTCGTTATATGATTGCAAATGAATTAGAAATAATAAGATTACATTCATATTTGTTATATTACCAAATTACCACAAAAACAATAACGCCTCTGCTGCAAGAATGGAATTTAATATGTAATTACTCAACCACACTCTGACCTTATCATACAGTAATTTTGTAATATGAGTTGTGGTGGACTTTGCATTGGCAAAGTTTTTTTTTATCTCCATTGATTTTTTCGTAAATAACTGTCTTAATTATTTTTTCTCAATTAATTTTTTTCCATAATGACGTCTTTAGGATTAAATATACTTTGAACTCATCCCTCAGCTTTGTCTGGTTTTGAGGTTGTCCCGTCAGCGAGAGAGCATGATACAGTGTAACAAACTCTGATTTCGATATAAGGGTATCTTGAAGATCAAAAGCTTCAGACAGGATTTCATGAAGAGCAATGTACTGTTCCTGTAAAAAGAAACGGAGGTTTCCTTTTTAAAATGCATTGGCGGTATTATAAATAATCTTGCTCATTATGTGTTGTGTTATGTATAGAAAATAGTGGACAAAAATAATCTATTGTTTGACCTACCACTGTTTGAACCATGTTCATTCTGTCCTTCCTCATCGTATCTACAAAATGTCGGATGTCGATGCGATCATACTTTTTACCGAAATCCAACAAAGCGTCAAGGGCAATGAACGTGCCTGTCCTTCCAATACCAGCACTAAAATATACAATTAAACTTTTCTGAAATGTCAGAAGTGTGTATGAATTGTACGTGCTCAGTTCTATCTCTACCTATTTTATAAAGAAAGTTTCTTGATATCAGATACGATATACATGTATATATGATATTGATATATACACATAAATTTGTATTGTACCTTACCTTGCTCTAGTGAAAATATTTGAAATGAGATGTTAGTAGCATGGAGTGGGAAATATATTTACAATACCACGAAAACATGGATGGAGATGTATTTGATATCTGCATCAAATCATAACCTAGATTTTTCAAAGTTAGTGTAATGTATTGTATACATAAAGTTCCTTTATTACCAGAAAATACTACCGAATTAGAATAGGTTTTGTCAAAATTCACTTGTTTTATATACTCAATGAAATGACCAATCATATAATCCTATGAACGCCCTCAATACCGATAGTGTACCTGCAGTGAATAACCATTTGGCCAGGAAGGTCAGTTCTCTGAAGTTTCACACGACGATGGAACAGAACAAGTTCTAACGTGTTCGGCGTCCCGTGGTCTGGCCATGTCGTGAAATGAAACTGTTGAATCTCTCTCTTTTCCTTTGACTGATTTGAAAGGAAATAAGTATTATATTTGAATTTATTTCGTTGTAATAATAAAAGAGTAAAGTATGCATATATACTAACATTCATACAAAACAATACATCATTCTAAAGTATAGTTATGATTGAACAAAAGCAAATACTGAACCGAAACCAAGGGTGAATATCGAAATAATATCATTCCATAACTAAGTATCTTTTATATCTTGATTAGAAGGTAGCTACATAATGTTTAGTTTTGCAGTCAAATCAATTTCATTGGGATACCTTTCGTTCGATGAGCGTGATATTCCTCACAACATGGGAAGCATAGTCTCGTTCCCTTTGGAGTGTTATGTCGAATGTTTTTGTTGTCATTGGATCCCCTTCGTCAGGCCAGTACTTGACACATTTTACCTAAATGAATTATGATTACTTCTATTGATACATATAGATGTCGTATTTGTTATTGTATATTCATCTTGATAACGGAATATGTAAGTTTGACGTTTGTAAAACAGCTCTATGAAGCATGAATTTGCTTTTATCTCATTCAATATTGTTGTTTACGCCGTGCTCTAGATTATTTTATCTTATCATATGATGCTACTGTGTTTACCTTCGAAGACATCTCAGCGATAATATGGAATTGAGGAAAATCTAAATTGACCGAAATAAATGTGTAGATTTTAAAAGTGTATTTGTTTCCTCTATCAATTTATGCAAAACTCATAGGATTTGAAATACCATTTTATAATTAGTATTTCAACAAACATCGAAGACTAAGATATTTAATGAAAGAATGCATATATGGCTGTAATTACCTTTATACCTTCTACTAAATTTGTAAGCATCACTATCTTTCCAGAGTTAAGAATCCAGATCATTCTCCAAAAGTCATCGGTCGATGACCGTATGGGTCCTATGATAAAGTAAAATGAAGATTCATAATAATGAGCCCTGATATTACGAATATGGTTAACTTATATTAGTTTAACTATTAATGACAGAATAATCTGAGTTTGATTGCTGAGTGCATCGCCCTATGAACAGCAAGGGTAATTGCGAAGCGGGTCCTCTTTTACTAATTGATGGCTATGTCACTAAATTGAATGCAGGAGACTGCCGATGGTCTTTCAACTTGATTCAGGGGAAGTTACTTATCCATGGACTTAAGTACGAAAGCACAACACGACCCGTGATTTCAGCGTCCTGAAAAACACAACCTCTCTGGAAGGTTTCGAACCACAACTGGTCACTCTTATGAGCTATTACGATTACGACCTCTGTCATCTAAGATACTTGTAGTTACCTTGGGTTGCAACATAGACTTGTCTTTCTTCTACGCTCTGGAAATTAACACAATATTTGATTATATAATAAAAGAAACATAATATCTGATCGTATTAAAAGTACCTTGCGGAAAAAAAGTTTAAAATATGAAAATCCCTAGAATAGTTCAAATATATACAGAAAAAGTAATTATCTAACTAATTATAACAAAAAAGAAGGATAAGGCATGCAAAGCTGTAAACACGTATCGGTTCCCATAAAATCGATAACTGAAATCAGTTTGCATAGTTGATACCTACGTCTATGTAGTTGGCGTTTATATAGTCTGATCCTTTTTCGCCTAGACGGTCGTCAAGTATAACTCTTGAATGGTCATCTGGACATTATATAAAATATAGATAAGTGTGTGAGTTTATACTTGATCGATGAATGGTCAAATACTATCAGTACTATCGTAAAGAAAGGTAGAAATTTCCTATTGTGAATTAAACCATAAACATTCATAGATGAATGACTGTATATGAGAAAGTAATTTAGATGACTACTTACACGGAAATATGGATTTGAATCTATTTTTAGACTTATTCTGTTCCGCAATCGTGTGTGGATGAATGGCTCCTAATGGGAATTTCTGTGAAAATAAAATGTTTAAAAAACATCTTTCAGGATAATTTTGATAAATTAAGTAAAAATGCTTTTCTGCATAAATCAATATTAGTATACACACTCTTCTTCATTTCTTACAAATCTAGGAAACGATTATGATTTTACGTTAATGACATGGAACACGGCGGAATTACTTTATCTTTTTATATGTATTTTTCATAAGAAAAATTTCAAAAGAATTTACACAAATCCTATTAGGCAATTTCAAGAAAAAACTAGTTTGTTTATCAATAATATACCACAATGATGTGAAGTTTTTAACAACACATTTTTTCAATAAAACAGGACCAGTTCCTGTCTAAAGCACCGACAGTGCAGTAACGTTTAATTACTATTCATAAAAACACGATGATATACAGCTTTGTATAAAATGTGTTATTACTTCAAATTCCGAAATGAATTTCTTTTCTTCATTTGCCATTTTTTCAGCAATCAATGACTTGAGCCTACTGACAGGAAAACCAATTGGTCCTTCATTGTAGTAAACATTCTCTAGGTTTTCTGGCTTTTCTTGTACATTTCTGTTGGCAATGTTGACATATACTTGTCCTTTCGTTTCATCTGAAATGGAATCAAGTTATATATATTTAGCAAAACATCGAAATCGGCCCAACACGTCAATGTGAAATATCAACTTTTCATACTGATTCTTCACATGAACAAATTAATTTCTACCACACCCACCCAAAACCCTATAAGAAAATATGCAATATAATACTTGACGGTAGAACGATGGTTTTATACCTGAATGCCTGTTTGAGTTGTTTGACGATTGTGCCTTTTCGTATAGTACTGGAGGCGCTGGTGTGCTTTCTCTGGACAAGGCCGATCTTCTTCTGAATGAAAGAAAAACATATTAACTGTGAAATCAGCCTTTGAGGACTCAGAACGGCTTTTGGATATTGATATTTTATGTTTTGCTTTATATCTATAACTTCTAACATTTAAAATATTCATATACTAAATGCATAAAGCATCATGCCGATTAATTTGAATGAATGAAAGTGCATGAAAATATATACAAGTGTTAATTCCTATGTTTATATATTTTTTATAGTATATGTATTTAATTGTACATGCTCCGTTCACCAAATGAACACTTGCTTGGCACTATTTACCGTTTGACTAAACACACTGTTACTATGATCACAACAATCAGCAGAACAACAGCTGCTCCTCCTCCAGCGTACGTTCCTATATTACCGCCTTCATCTCCCGACTGTCTGGCTTCTACAATAAGAAAATTAATGAGGAAACAGTTGTGATGGCCACCATAAGTAACATTTGTAACTGACATACATTTCCATATATAGCAATAAGAGTTGTAAGAAATTAACTTAAGGGATCCATTGAACGTATCAGCTAATATTGTCCCTAGTTAGTAATGTGTATATATAGTTTTAACCTACAATTTAAAATAATACCTTTGACATCACAACGCTGACCGGTCCAACCCGTCAGACATGATTTCTCACAAAATCCTGTTGCCATATCACAGCGTGGTGCTTCACAGTTACCACAAACCATCGAACACGAAGTATTGTAATAACCATCGATACAAGCTGAAACGAATTAGTGAATGATGTCCCGAGATATATATATGTATGCATATATGTCATATTGGCATACTCAAACACACGAAATTCGACAGATACTGATTTCATCCAAAGCTTCAAGACTTTTTCTTATTAACACCACCAGACTGAAATTACTTTCGATATGTTTATTTCAAGTGATACTTTATAGGTTTACATTGAGTAAGAACAAATAACTAACTGATGTAAAATAAGATTAAAAAGCAAAACAAAGAAATGACTACTTAAACACTGTCCTCCATCTTGGGCACAGGTCGTACAGTGATCTGAACAAGGCAAACTACAGTTGTCTCCATATGTACCGTTAGCACATCCAGCTGATATGTAAAATGAAATTCACTTTATTACAGAACACATTGAAATGAAATAACATGTGAACACTGCTGTATATATCATGATAAAAAGCAAAGGTGATTTTCATCAGCTATGAACATATTTACTTCTATTTCACAAATATGATAACGATTTTACTGATATTGATAGTACATATAATACCTTGACTATATTGAAACGATCGTCCAACAAGATTTACTGTTATTGTAATTTTACATGTATCATGTGTATTTCAGTTTCTGTTAACTATCATACTGACGGTAAGTAATATATTACCTGTACAGCGACCACTGAAATTGCAATCTGTCTCCAAACAATTTTCCGAACACGGGGAGCAAGATGGACCAAAATGACCAAATTTACAATCTGAAATATTAAGACTTTACATTAAGCATATGCAATGATTCAGAAAGAGCTAAAAAAATCGTGGAAAATAAACTATACAACGTAATTGGCATCCGATGATGGTTTTCCTATGATTTTTTTTAAATAATGAAAGTCATCTTATGGAATAACGTTATTCAATTAAATTAAATGTCGGGTTATATATACATGAAAAAATGCAACCTTATACATGTCTGGTTTTATGCAGCAACACGTTATAGCATTTTATTTCATATACGTCAGTGAAGCATTTTCCCCTTACCTCTTTACCAACTAGGGGTCCCTATTATGTTCAAGGGTTTTTTTTATCGTCAGCTGGTTGGATGATATTTCAATACTTAATCACCAGACAAAAATCAGCGACGGCATATTTTTTAGTAGTCGGAGCACAAAATTATCATTAATTTTTGCTTTTTCGTGGTGTATCATTTGACTAGGTTGCGTTTTCCATAATTTTGTTTCCTATTATTGCCATCCTATGATGGTTTTCTTATGATATTTTGATAATAAAAGTCAGATTACTTATTCAGTTCAATTAATGTGCGGCATGCCTAGGTAATACTAACGAGAAAATAAGTTTATCAGAAGTAAAATTTGAAGGGTTAATCCTTGCTTAACTTGGTCTTATCGTGTTGAATGTGGGGTTAAATAGTTTTGGTACAAGGACAACATAGACTTTTTAAGTAGAAATATAGGAATTTATCAAACTAACAAAGACATATCATCCATAGTGATACAAGGTTTCCAGTGATTGTATATGTTTTGTAGTTTTTACAGACTAACTTTCTAGTCATTGCATTTCAATTCGCCGATTTTTCTGTTTGAACGCGGACAAAGAGAAGATTCAATAAATAAATTTTCCGTCAAATCTTTCCCGTGTATATTTCGAGTTATCTCTAATTTGGTATATAAAGCATTTTTTGTAAGCGATTCTTACCAGGTAACAGCATAAATGGTATAATATCTCATGCAGAGGCAAATTTTCTTGTCAAATATAGCGTCGAACTACTAGACATCAAATAACATGCTAATATTTCCCGAACTATTTTAAAGCTAGTCATACTCGTGAAATGTATATGAAATTAAACTGGAAACCAATAAAAGGCAGCTAAACACTTAGCTTAACTCATGCATCCAGATCATGATTTTTGTTTATTTTTAACTTCGTTTTCATCTACATCAAGTAGGCATTGGGTTTTACGTTTTTCCTCCCTTGCAATTTCCTGAAGTACATAAGTAGTTAGTTTCCCCTGGGAAAGGAAGGAAAGTTTGAAATTCACGATTCTAAGTCTTTCCCACCTACTTCCACCCAAGATTTCAGTCCTCCGTTTTTTTTTTTTTTTTACATATTTCATTATTCGGGCGGAGTTTGGCAATTACTATTCAAGCTTTTCATTAGTGATACTTTTACATATTTCTAACAAATCATGTATTTGTTTTTCCCATTTTCATATTGATAATGCCATGGTGTATATTTCATGTGTGTCAACATTGTCTTCGAATTAATGTGTTTGCATTGAACGTTCCCATACGCTGACCATATTCATTTACATCATTCTATTTGTTTATGTGACAAGATGGAGGATAAATATATGTAAACATCCTCTATATACTGAAACAATATCAGACACAGCGCTCCCTACACAGTTTTAAGATGTGATTTCATTCAATCTGCCTCAAGAACATTGTTGAAATTGTTCATGGGTATTCTTCTCTGTGGTGTACACTTCATTAATAGTACTCCCTTTCGTGACTCAGATTAATCATTCTCTTATTCAAAATGCTTCTTATTTCAATAGCTGCACGCGAATAACTCGATTTTGAATTCAACAATTGAATTGCTCATACAAAAATATCTAAAGCTAAGAAAGGTATGAAAGAAAGGCCAATAACCCTTAACGGTTACCTGACTGTTAAGATTGTTTTCACTTGTGGAACTTGAGAAGAAGATATTTTTAATAGACGTTGTTCAGGGAAACTATAATTGCGTGGTCATGTTGGAAGATGACTGTAATGTCTACCATATTGAAATTTCGGCGGGACCAAATTATATCCACATTTTGTCGGTTTCCTTTCCAAAATCCGCAAACATATTTTAAGCTTAATGGCATCAGTGGGATTTGAGAAGTGTTTCAAGACGCAGCAAAACTGTATTTCGGCCGGACCCAAAAATTAAAACGCTTGGTCAGGAACATCTCAGAATTATTTCAGGCAAGTTTTAGCAAAATCACATGGAGGGAATTTCAGGAGGCGTTTAAAATGTGAAAAAGTTTACGTATGGCGGACGGTACATGACGACGGGTGAGATATGATGCCTGAAGGTCATCATGACCTTTCGGTTCAGATAACTGGAAAAAGGATAAACTGCTTTGGATAGATTTTTCTCGATTTAGAATTGTCAAATGTTCTTTCCGAAACTATTTGGTAATATCAGAAAAAATATAATTTTAATGAGTGTACTACAGACCAGAACACTTTCCGTTTGTCTTGTTACATGTGCTATCGCCACAGCTGTATGGACATTTCTTAAGGCACCATGAGCCGTATCTGCCTTCTGGACATTCTACAAATATATAAGACATTTCTGATGACAAAATTATCAAATGGTCATTGTTCAGAAATAGTATCGTTTCGTTACGTTGTCAGTGGAAAGGTTATGATACAACTTGTAGAGAATTGACTCTGATTAATATGGATAATTAACAATATCAGAAATACTTAGGAATATTAAAATTCATTACAAAAATAGCAAGAAATAAATAAGTTTGTTATCTTAATAGCAATAAATTGATAGGAATCTGTGTAAAAATCAAAATATTACCAAAACAAAATCGTGAACTACTTATTGAGCGATTTGAGATGGCTTAAAGGGCCAATTTCAGTCAAATTCAATTTTCATCAAAGATTTCGTGATAGATATTAAATGCGAACAGAAAAAGTTTCGCAAGATGTTTATATCGAAAACATGGAACAAAGAATACATGGCTGAACAGTGATACATACGAGGCAAGCTAAAGTATTCATAACAAAAGATTCATAAATCACATGTGTAATGGGAACGACTTTTATCACATTAACAATTGGGTTCACAATTTGTTTTGTTTTTTGTTTGTTTGGTTGTTTTTTTTTTTTTTTTTTTTTTTTTGTTTTTTTTTTTTTCGTTTTTGTTGGTTTTCCCTTTTTTTCATTTACGGTGATGTCTAAATGCAAACTTCGAGGATATGATAACATATCATTACCATTTCTATACATCACAATTAATCCTATAACAGGAGTCAATATTTAAATATTGCAAAGTCTCCAAATACTATGACAGTCATGTAAAACATTGTAAAAGATTTGAAGATAAATGGGGTTTTTATTCCATGTGAAAAGTTGTAAATCATTCAAAGGTGCAATACAAAATTGTATGGTTTTTGTTTTTAAGTAAAATATTATTACAGTTTTATCAATTTGTCTTTTGCTACCATAAAAAGATATGTCCAACTTATTTCTATACATACTTGTACATTCACTATTATCCTGGTCACAGCCATAAGGGTCACAGGAGGTCCTGCATTGATGTAAACATTTAGATCCGTAGTAACCCTGTTTACATGCTGTATAAAATATAAATAGTGGTACTTTTTAATAACATATCATATCAATGTCATACTCTTTTCTATATTCCAGTATATCTCAAGAATTATTATAGGAGCATTACGTAGTCGAAACTATTTATACTAAATTATGAAAATAAAACCAATGGAAAAAGTGTATTTCCGAAAGTAGAAGAACCTAAACATCTGCTGGAAGTATATTGTATGTATTAGAACAGTTTGATATTATTCATATATTGACACATTTTATGATATACCAAAATTTAATACTGTCGATGCATTGTATGATACAGCATGTTTTAATACTGCTGATATAGTGTATGATATAACACTGTTTTGTACTATTGATATAGTGTATGATATATTAAAGTTTTGCACTGTTGATATATTGAATGGTATAGCACAGTTTCATACTGTATGGTATAACACAGTTTAAAATTGTTGATATATTATTTGGTATAGCACAGTTTAATACTGTTGATATATTGTACGGTATAGCACAGTTTAATACTGTTGATATATTGTATGGTATAGCACAGTTTCATACTGTTGATATATTGTATGGTATAGCACAGTTTAATACTGTTGATATATTGTATGGTATAGCACAGTTTAATACTGTTGATATATTGTATGGTATAGCACAGTTTAATACTGTTGATATATTGTATGGTATAGCACAGTTTAATACTGTTGATATATTGTATGGTATAGCACAGTTTAATACTGTTGATATATATATTGTTTAATACTGTTGATATATTGGATATATAGCACAGTTTAATACTGTTGATATATTGTATGGTATAGCACAGTTTAATACTGTTGATATATTGTATGGTATAGCACAGTTTAATACTGTTGATATATTGTATGGTATAGCACAGTTTAATACTGTTGATATATTGTATGGTATAGCACAGTTTAATACTGTTGATATATTGTATGGTATAGCAGTTTAATACTGTTGATATATTGTATGGTATAGCACAGTTTAATACTGTTGTTATATTGTATGGTATAGCACAGTTTAATACTGTTGATATATTGTATGGTATAGCACAGTTTAATACTGTTGATATATTGTATGGTATAGCACAGTTTAATACTGTTGATATATTGAATGGTATAGCACAGTTTAATACTGTTGATATATTGTATGGTATAGCACAGTTTAATACTGTTGATATATTGTATGGTATAGCACAGTTTAATACTGTTGGTATTTTTTTATTTCTAAAGCACAATTAAACTCTGTTAGAAGATTTAACTAAACATCTGCCGGAAGTATACAACTGTACAAAAAAAATCTCGGTATTATATTGTTAACAAAGTACTGATATAATGTTTCATTACTTACAAATTATTCGTTCAAATTTGTTACTATACCAACCTGTACAATGTCCATTAGACTTCTGACAGACGTTAGCTTCACATTGGGTCGGGCATGAAAATTCACATTGTAGTCCGTATAAACCTTGTTTACAAGCTGTATAGAACAAAAATAACATAGTAAGTTTTGTAGGATTATTTCCGCTGAATCAGGTAATATATTATATGATATAGCACAATTTAATACTGTTGGTATTTTTTGTATTTTTAAAGCACAATTAAACTCTGTTAGAAGATTTAACTAAACATCTGCCGGAAGTATACAACTGTACAAAAAACCTCGGTATGATAATGTTAACAAAGTACTGATATAATGTTTCATTACTAACAAAACATTCTTTCAAATTTGTTACTATACCAACCTGTACAATATCCATTAGACTTCTGACAGACGTTAGATTCACATTGGGTCGGGCATTGAATTTCACATTGTGGTCCGTAGAAACCTTGTTTACAAGCTGTATAGAGTAAAAATAACATAGTAAGATTTCTATGATTATTTCCGCTGAATCCAGATCCCCATTTTCCCCATTATGATGATTCCTGTTATTTACAGACATGGCGAGTTCTCAAAATCGCATGAGTCCAACAGGAAAAGCATAAGCCCAGGACTCAAATATCTGAGACTCAAAAATCACTTACAACGCTAAATTTTTATAACCTCACTTATCAATGTCACGTACATATTGACAGTATATTTTATGTTAGATTACAATTATTTTTCTCATTTTTAGTCAATTGTTTGTATGAAGTATATCCAGAAAGTTAAAAAAGTATATGTGTGTAAAATGTGATACAAACTACGGTTTCAAAAGAAAAGTTTAAGTATATTGTCTACTTTTAATTTGAGCGCCTCTATCTATTTTCCGTCTATGTCAGAAAAGATTGAATTTAATCACTGATAGGAGTATACAATAAAACTCGGTATGACGTTGATATCACAGTACTGATTTAACGGTTCATTACTAATAAATTGTACAAAACTGTACATTAGCCTTCTGACAGACATTAGATTCACATCGTGTTCCGTAGAAACCTTGTTTACAAGCTGTATAGAGCAAAAATAACATAGTAAGTTTTGTAGGATCATTCCAGGGGGATGATATTGATAGTATATTGTATGTATTAGCACAGTTTGATATTATTCATATATTGAAATAGTTCATGATATTCCAAAATTTAATATTGTCGATGCATTGTATGATACAGCACATTTTAATACTGTTGATATAGTGTATGATATAACACAGTTTTGTATTGTTGATATAGTGTATGATATATTACATTTTGCACAGTTGATATATAAACTGTATGATACAGCACAGTTTAATAATGTTGATATATTGTATGGTACAGCACAGTTTAATAATGTTAATATATTGTATAGTACAGCACAGTTTAAAACTGTTGATATATTGTATTATACAGCACAGTTTAATAATGTTGATATATTGTATGGTACAGCACAGTTTAATTATGTTGACATATTGTATAATATAGCACAGTTTGATACTTTTGATGTATTACATGATATAGCACAGTTTGATACTGTTTATGTGTTGTATTTTATAGCACAATTAAATCATATATGTTGTAATACCATGCGGATCCCCACTGGGCTCTTTTTACAGTCCAGGGGTGAAATTACAGCCAATTGAATTACAATTTGATTACGAATTTTTTCGACGATTTTGAATAAACCGCTTTAAACTCTCGTATGTACGAGAGAACAACGGTCATCTTTCTTCCTAAACTATACACATGTGTAACATCAGTAGTGATGGTAGATACAATTATTAAAGCAGCCCACATATAGTTTCAATGGTAATGGATGAAGTAGGTTTTTAAAGAAATCTTAAAGAAAATTAAATTCCTTTCTTTGGTTCAGGATGAAATTCTATTTGTTAAGATATTATAAATAGAAATTCGACTTCAGCATGTTATATCCAGTTAGTTATTTTTACAAGTGTATGTAGATACTGGTCCAAAAGATTGACCCTTGGTCTATTGGTTTTGAGGTCATTTCAGGGCATGTTGTATTAACTTAACTATTCATTCACTTTTAAAAAAACACACACATTAATTCATTCTTGAAACAGAAGTTGTCAGTCACATTTGAAGAGCAATATACTATGACAAACTACAAATGTAACATGCCAAAGACTTTGGGACAATTTGCTTGGTTATCTTCCAATGAATAATCTCGGTCATTTCGAGCACAGGTGGCATCATCATTCAGCTACATTTGGGTGACTTCCCACTCACTCAACTCAATTTGGAAAAAAAACATCTCGGCAAAATATAATTAAAACTGGCTTGCTAGTTTAGCGGAGGATGTCAAAAGTACATTTTAAGCAACTAGAATAAACTTTATAGCTATTTGAGTGACTTCTCATTCACTAAACGCGCGTTTTCCAAAGCCATTTGGAAAATATCTTCGCAAAAACTGACCTGTTGGTTTAGCGGAAGATGTCCAAAGTGTACTTCTGTAGAAACCGTAATAAACTTTAGTAACCGTTCGGGGGAAACAACGCTGAATGTTACAATTTTGGTAAGGCTATTTTACAAAAGTGGAAATAATTCAGCGATGATTTCTAGTTTTTGAGAAGAAGAATTGAAAATGATGACTATATTGAATATATGATGAATATGAAGGACCTTTCCTCAGTCTTCCGAGGGTCCAACCCCGTAAATTTCACAAATTAGAACTGTCTTGCCCCTAGAGTGTTTATGGTTAAATGTAATTGAAGTTTCCTAGCTGGTTTAGCAGGGGATTACGCAAATACAGTTTCCTAAATAAAGCTATATTAAACTGCATCCCTTCCCAGGGGCACCTGTATGCAGGACAGTTAAAAAACTTCACATTCTTCGTAAAAACCCCTGTAGGGTTTGAAAACTCCAGAAGAATGTCAATTCTGGCAGTTCTAGCTGTTGAGAAGAAGTTTTTAAAATCATAAATATTTACACCACTTTGAAGACTTTGGGGCAAGATCAATAAATTTCACAATTTTGAAGCGCCTCTCCTAAGGATACTTGTGGCCGAAAATGATGTAAAATTGTCCCATCAATTTTATCTTTTTTACGGAGATGTCGAAAACATGAACATGTTTGCGCACGACGGACGCCGACGGACGGAACTCTATGGCAATAAGTCATCTGACCCAAAGGGTCATGATGACTCAAACCATATTCCAAAGATTATACGAAGCCATCGCCAGTATTCTACGGTAGTCTCGTTGCGTTCTTTCAACTAATAAAATCGAACAATTTGAATGTACTGAATACAGTATAGTGTAACAATTACATTTTAATTATAGTATGAAACATGGTAACGATATTCGTTTTTATGATAGTATAGCTTTGTTCGAAATCACACTCCATAGTATGTCAGTGTCCTAAAAGACACATGTCACAATAGCAATGATATTGGAATGCAAATTTTAATTGACAACAGAATAATAATGAAAATGACTTATTACAATGTGACCAGAAGATACTATCATTGGAGTTAGTCCTTCAGTATTTCTTACGACGCGATCTATATTACAAATATTTTCTTGCAAACTACATGTATGACAGCTTTATATTTCCGCGTACATTTTCTAAACATCCGAGATATCGTTGTATGCTTACCAATACATTGTCCAGAACTGTCACATCCGCCAGCACAATAATCTGGGCAGGGTTGACAGAATGTTTCCCTGTGTGATGGGTATGTGTTATCACCACAGTCTTGCATCATGTCGAAAAATAAAACAAGAATATACACGGATATTACAGCCATTTTGTCTCATAATTTAAGTTACCTTATATTAACATATATTAGCATTTATTTTGATTAACGTAAATTAACGTAAATCTTGAGTATATGTAAAACACTTATAAGTGACTACGTACAGAGACAATATCCAGAAGTCGGATGACAGAGACCTCCAGGACAATTAGAAGAACAGTCTTTGTCACAGTTTCCGTTTCCGTATTTCCCCACTTCACACCCTGTAAAAATGAATAAGGCGCTATATTTGTTTCATGAATATGATCATTTTTCAGTCCAGAGATACAGTAAAGCCAAATATTGGTGAGGATGTTAGATATTTACATATTTATTATGAATTTGGATTATAAACTTTATAAATATTATAAATATGTCAATGGTGAAACTTTTCAATACGATCTCGGCAATTTAGCCGACAATCTTCGAGCAGACAACGTAGATTTGAGTTTAACAGCGTATAAACCTCGTGCATTGCTCACGTATGGTCAGATCATCTAATTAGGTCACGATGTATTTAGAACAGTTGTTATTCAGTCACTGCGGTCATTTACATAAGAATTAGGATTATTATGTATATATTTTTTGTATTCATTTAAAGGTCAATAATACAACACAGAAATTTGTCTTATGACGTCACAATTCATTAGTAAAAAAGTATTCAGCCAATACCAGCGATGTCCCCTTTCTCCACACATAAAAAATTAATCACAGTGACGCCTGGGAGTTTGTTTAAGTCGATGCGAATGTGGACAAAAACATGAAATTTTAGAGTCTTTGTCACACAAGACAGATCCTAATTATGTATATATGGTATATGGTGGAGAGTTCTCCGTGTCAAAAAATAATGATTTTCATCCGAAACAGAAATCTGGTGTTGTTTTGTTTTGTTGTTTTTATTTTCCAGTTAATCTTTACTTTGACAGTTGACGATATTTTCACTTCTTCAGGGGAAATTCAAAACCATTCATTTGACCAGTTTTATTTACCACTATAACAAAATTTCAGTTATTTCTATCCATAAAGCTGACTGACTGGTTGAATCATATTGATCTAAAAGTAGTATTTTTGATGTCAGTGTGGTGAAGTTGTGAACAACTACCGATAGTTTTACCTCAAAAGATATTTTTCGTCGGGCAGATTTGATATCATGATTCTGAAACTGGACTGGACATGAATTTAAAACTACCTCCCTTGGTATATTAATATCTATAAGCAACACATCAAATAGTTTAATGTTACCGAGTTACTTACCATAAACTTGTACTTCACAGAGTTCAAGAAGTGCTGAAATATCGTACCAGGTTTGTCTCAAAGGTGGCTCTCTGTTGTTGTATATCCACACGTACTGTGCTGTACCATTACATTCACTGTGCGTGACATGGCTTTGTATTTGCGATTCACTAGTTGAATTATCAATGAAGCATCGGTCCTGACGACGTCTTTCGGTGGTATTTGACAGATATATCTCATAACCAGCAAACCGGTTCTTCCATCCAGCTGCAATGTTAACAATCATCACTAGAATCACAATCGCTAAGAAATGAAAACATTTAAAGTTGTTCCAGAAATTATATAAAACACAATCAACCAGAAACAGTTGCACCACTTTTCGAGGTATATTGAATATAAGATAATTTTTATATAAATCAAGATATCCATATCTTAGAAATGTCGTGGTTTTGGCAATAGTCACTGTCAAAGACAAAGCTGAAGTGTATGATTTAGATCAATTCTCTGTTACGAAAATGTGGAAATCCAGTGAACTTTGATATGTCTGGTATATACAACAAAGCCTGGAGAAAATTTACAATCTCTATATTTTATCTAACGAAAACTGATTTGTGTTAGCAGTAATTCGAAGGTGGGTTATGATTATAATTTTTCTTTTAAAAGATATTATCTTTTTCCAGATCTGCTCTTCTCGTTTTCGAAATGTTTGATCCTCATTCTCTGTGAGAAGTCCTAAAGCCATAAAACAGCTGAATGATAAGTTTGTATCTTATCAGCTATACTTAAACTATTCCTTCTTCATTATTGAATGATGCTATCCACTTATCTGAATTTCTTTAAGGTTAATTTTTGTTTTGATATATATTTTGAAAAACATGTTTAAGTAGTAAAGTCATTTAGAATGACGATAAGTTGAGGAAAAGTTCTGGGAGGAAATGGGTATTCACTTGACAGATTTTGTCGACATTTTGTAACATTTCAACAACAAAATTCTTCTTTTTAATGTGTTGAGAAGCGCACCATTCAGTTTGCAAAGTTTTCATATCTTTCATACCAGAGGAAATGTCGCCGTTCTCATGATTACAAGCATGACTTCATACTTGATAAACGAGCAATGGTAGTGACTGTCTGACAAATTAAATTTTTGTCTATACAAATGTAAATATTAACAGGTTAATGCTATACAAATATTGACACACGTTGACAAACGGACCTACCCCAATTAAACTCTTCTCTATAGTATATCTCGACCTTTTCTATGACGAAATCACTTTGCAGGTCGACTCTCCACCACACTTCTGTCTGGTTTACTGCTTGATGGGCACATGAATCCTTTCCCAAGGTTTGTATGGTTTTACCGTCCACAGCATTCTTCGACGGGTGTATGACTGTCCCGGCTGGTCTATAGTCACTGCTTTGTGCTGTTGGTTTGTTTTGTGAAATAATCACTACAATGAAGAAGAGGTAACAATGTTATAAGCGACACACATCTTATCCTTTACCAATCTAATGTAGCAATCACATAATATATGTTGTTTGTATTTTTCAGTGATGTATATCAAGTTTACCACAGATAATGGATACGTGTAATTCAGAGACGGCCACCATGCATGAGACGGTTATTCGAACGTGTATGAAGAGTTAAATATGATTAAGAAATAAGATTTAAGGTGGAACTCTTCTGAAATTCATGAAATCAACGAGGATATCATATCATGACGACATCAACGACGCAACAAACAAATAATTAGATAAATATCTAGATATTTTTTTATCTAAATCCGAAAATAGGACACCAGTGAACAAACCTTTGTCTACTGCATCATACCACGTGCTTGTAGTATTATTAAGAGCAGTCGGGCATAAATGTTTCAATATTAATCCAGATTGGCTAAATGTAATCAAATTGTGAGCAGTCACAAATCTATTTTTTTAAAGAACATATACGCAAATACTCCGGGTTAATGCAATGACATGTGAATATTAGTTGTTTTAGAAACGGACATATGTATGGCTTATATTTTGTGAAGTGTGAGGGAAAATAGCTGTAATTCGTATTAAAAAGTATGGCTTATAGCAAAATATTCAAACTGATTATTTATGCACACTTGTTCTTAATTTAACTGATTATTTACGTTTTTTATATGTTTCAAATGGATGACCCTATATAAGCTAGTGTCTCGTGTAACCACAGGACTAATGACCATGAAAGAGCACTCAAACCGAAAGTGACTTGTAACATATATTATATGGAACGTGAGTTTGGAAGTCGTGTCTAGTTCCCGTAGTCAAGCCTGTCATTTCTGGACACCTCTCGGGAAAAATAAAATCCATGCTACATATTAGCGGTGGCATATTTTAATAATTACGTCAGGTGGAATTTATATAAATTGTTCAATTATTGATTTCATATACGAATCATTTAAATGGTACAGTATGAAGATTGAAGTCCATGTGACCAATATTATCGTAGAGTATGTATACGCCCAAAATCAGCATCCTCTCAGCCAAATATGAATTACCGTATAATTGTGGCACATATCTGATAAAAGATTACAATTATCAGTGCTCTTCCCTAAAAGATTACAATTATCAGTGCTCTTCCCTAAAAGATTACAATTATCAGTGATCTTCCCTTTTTATCTCACCTGGCCCGACGGGCCAAGTGAGCTTGTGCCGTGGTGCAGAGTTCGTTGTTCCGCCGTCCGTCTAACGTCACCTTTTCCGTTAAAAGATGAAGCCCGACAACTATTCAAAATTAACAGGCGTGATCAGTTTGAGTTGAAATAACTTTCGCAATTGTTGTAATATAAAGTTTATATTTATTTATAGAGGTCAACTTTGCTAAAAAAGAAAATTGATAAACTTCTGACTAATCAAAAGCTGCAGAGACATGGCATCTAACTGATAGGTTCCTAGGATGAAGCCCGACAAAATCTGCGAAAAGAAATTACCATGACCTTTATTCAAAGTCACAGGGGTCAGATTTGTTAACGCTTTAAAATAACTTCTTCTGACAAACAAAAAGGCGCAGAAATATGGTATTTGGCTGATACGTTTCTAGAATGAAGTCCGACAAATTTTGCAAAAAAGGAATGACAATGACCCTTTTTACAAGGTCACAGAAGTTTAACTTGTTAAAACCTTTAATCAACTTCTTATGACTAACCAAAAAGCCCAGAAAGTATGCTATTTGGTCACAGGGGTCAAATTTCAAAGCCTGTAAAAGACTTCTTCTGGAAAAGCAGGATATTTGGTGACAAAGTGTTTTATGTCAAAGTCCAACACATTTCGAGAAAAAAAAGTTACATTTACCTATAAGAGAAGTTATAATTGTCACTATTTAGTGTTGAGTATAAGAAACTGTTTATTGTGGATATAGGTTAAAATTGATGAGATGTGTCCGATTATTAGGCTAATGGTGTACGTGTAATTTTTTTTTTATGAACATTGAATACCAGGTTAGCGATAAAGGCCCTGTGGGCCTCTTATTTGTTTACATGAATATGACCTTTACCAGGAAATCATTTTAGGTTACATGAAGAGTGTCGATAAGGAGCTAATGACATCATACCTACACTATCTTGAAACATTTTATGGAGTGTTAACTTCTCTGTCACAAGTTCAATTATCAGGAAATAGCTTTATATACAACTGTATTACAAAATAACATTTTATTAAAGTATCAATTTGTTTTCATTTAAACTGTCATTATTTTTAAGACCTAATCTCCATTTCTTCATTTAAAGGGACTAAATAACTAGATTGCGTTATTTTTTCCCGGGCGTTTGATTTCAGGTAAGCATTGTAGTACTTAAAATTAGACTCTTCAAAAATTATAACACTCTCTGAGAGAAAATGATAAAGATCATCACCTACAAACTAACGCTAGTCGACACTCGCTGTTGTGTCTACCATCCATCGCTGTTTTGATCGGAGATAGCCGAGTTTATCACGTGACCTTTCGGAGCCTCATTTTAACCAGCCATTTTGATATGATTTCTTACAATGTATAATTAGGTAATTAGCCAGAACTTAATTTGCCAGCCATGTTTCAATTCTTACTTTGGTAAGATGACATCTTGTTTCATACTACACGAGTGACAATGCGAAATAAATAAATTCGAATTAATCTTAATCTAAAAATGCATGCGCAAAAACATTGTTACACTCTCCGAATGATAATGATATGAATAAGTGTTTGGTCGCTCCTTTTTATATTGAATTTTTGACGTTGTTAATAAAAACATTAGGAAAATACTAACATGGCAATATAATTATGATTCAAACACTAGATGTAAAATATGAACAAAAGAAGGATTTACACGGGATTCCTGAAAAAAAATGCAAGATGAACTAGAAATTGTTGTTAACAATTTGGCGGGCTTTTCACTTCTTTGGCGACAAGTTGACCGGAAGTTGACATTTATCCTGATAACGATATATGAGAAAGGTTCCATAATTGTTAGTCCATACACCATATCCAAAGATGAACTTTGAATCTTGAAACGTTAAGGAGATATAACTACATAATAACGAAGAAATACACTTTTTAAAGGTTCAAACATATTTGACCCCTGTGACCTTGAATGTCGGTCAAGGTTATTCATATTTGCAAGCCTTATAATGTAACATCTGATGATCAATATATTCCCAATATTAGTTCTCTAGACCTTGTGAAACTTGACAAGAAAATTGTTGAACACTGGTACCCTATATTGTATATTTGAACTTTGACCCCTTTATGAAACCGGAAGTTAACATTTTGAGGGAAGTTTTCCTTATGACAATCACTAGGAAGTCTGCACAGAAGGTTTCTAATCAATTTTCATCATTGTATGCCTGAGAAACTTTCATTTAACGATTTTTAGTAAATTGGCATCTGTGACCTTGAAAGTGGGTCAAGGTCATTTATATTATCAAACTTTGTTTTCAGTTACATATCCTTCTTGTATATGAAATATCAAGCCTCTAGGCCTTCCAGAACTTTAGAAGAAGTTTTTCAAAGATTGGTACCGTAAATAGCTCTTTCCGAATTTGTGTCCTACCGAAAACCGGAAGTTGAACTTTTAGGGAAGTTTTTCTTATGACAATCAATAGGAAGTGTCCACAGAAGGTTTATAATCAATTTTCATCTTTGTGTGCCTTCTAGAATGTGAGAAACTGTCGTTTAACGATTTTTAGTTAATTGACATCGTTGACAGTTACATATGCTTCATATGTGTGAAATATAGAGCCTCTAGGCCTTTCAGAACTTGAGAAGAAGTTTTTCACAGATTGGTAACCTTAATAGCAATTTTCAACTTTGACCACCTACTGCAAACCGGAAGTTGAATTTCAAGGTACGTTTCTCTTATATCACTCGACAGGAAATGTCCACAGATTTATGTCCAAAGTTGAAGACTTTGGGCAGCTTAACAATGAAGAAATTACCATTTAACGATTTTTACATTATTGACCCATGTGACCTTGAAAGTGGGTCAAGGTCATTTATATTAACAACTTGATAGATAATTGACATCTTACACATAAACTCATTAAGACTCAAGGCTTTGCAGAACTTGAGAAGAAGTTTGTCAAAGTTTGTAACTTAAAATAACACTTTTGAACTTTGACCCCTACCGAAGACCGGAAGTTGACCTTTGATCCCAGATTTTTTTCTTGTGAAAAGTGTTTTCTTAGTTCTTGAGTTACGGCATTTTAGGTAAAATCGGATATGACGTCATGGCGGCCATTTTGTTTTTCCGATGAATTTGAATATGTCACTAAATGGTAGAAGACATCTGGGGAAATCTTCTCAGTAACAATTTGATAAAATATAGCCCATCAATATTGATCTAGATCGAGTTTTTCCAAATTGTCGGCATTTTTAAAAGATCAGAGGAAACTTTCAAAATGGCCTACAACGGAAGTGGTAAACGTTACAGAAAAACTAAAATCACTAAATTCATCGGAAGGACATTCTGCATCGATGTGTTAAAGAAATTTTCAAGAAAAATTAAAAATTGAAAAAAAAAATTTTTGTTTTCAAATTTTCAAATATTGACCCCACAGCGAGTTTTTTTATAAGACACATTTTGTATTATAATGGCATGGGAAAAAGTTAGATAAGGAAATTGTCTACAAATAACATAATGGACGAACTCTGTACACTCAACGGTTTTCGAGTTACGGCCGTTTTAAAGTTTTTAACTTATGACGTCATAGCGGCCATATTGGATTTTTGACCTACTTAAAAGATCTGCATCGTCACCTTCCAGTATGTACCTATAACTTAGTCAATACATATTAGGTGTGGTCTTTACCGTTTAAAAGATTACGAACCCACAAAGTTCGGAAGAAAAATAAGAAGAAGAAGAAGAAGAAGAAGAAGAAACATAACAAAAACAATAGGTCTTTTCACCAAATGGTGAAAAGCCAGGTGTTCCGGAAGAGTAAGCGTCTTCTGCTTAAATCGACGACACCTGCTATGTAAACCTTGGTCAATCCAAGTAAGTAAGGTCATGTTCTCAAAACAACGGAACCAACAGGCAAACTAACGAGCAACAAATACGTCCAGTTTCATGGTTATGCAAACATTAAGATATCATAATTAACAGAAAGTACACCATTTTTAACGAACATTTAGATATTATAATGCATTTTATCATTATGAAATTAATATCTAATCGTTCAGTTCCTTTAAATATGATTATATTCGTCTTACTCCTTCCTTCGATAACCATTTGCCCGTTTTGTAAATATAGGGTGAAAATCATGTGTGCATGTTGGTGTTGTCGTCGTCGTCGTCGTTGTCGTCGTCGTCGTTGTTACTTAACAGACTTATCATATTGTTTTTGTAAAATCTAATGTTGCCGATATGAATGTCAACTTAAACATACAGTTAAGTTTAGACTAATCATTAAACCAAGTGCACTTGTAGTGCACATGATAAAGACTAGGTTTAGACGAGGTTGAGACTACTAGTAAACTATTTGTGCACTAGACCTGGTTCAGGTGATGGAGCTATCTCCTTCATTGTAGGTAATGTACAGTGCCTATGGTTATCCGTGATTTTTACCTATGTGGTGTCTAGTCCTTAACCGTATACCTATCCGACTTCCTACAGTTGTGTCAATGATCTTGTTATAACTAAAATGTAAATTCTTATTCATTTCAAAATTTTAAATGAAATTGAAATGACGATTAATACATTAAACACAGACTTAATAGGAATAAATCATTAGTGATGAATGAAAGCCACCCTGTTTTGAGGAGAGATGATATAATTTACAGAGTTTACATTGTCAGGAAATTGATAAATTGAAAGCATTATCTACTGGAAAAGCGAATTTTATTCTTAAATGATTTGATTTAAAATTTAAGTAAATAAAAACTTCTTATAATATGTAATTGTGTTATGGTCAACTTTTTATGTTTAGAAATAGAAACATGTACTTAATTATAGTACCAATTTTAGATAGAAGTCTTTTATTTCAATGCATTGTGAATATAATTAATTTGATATATGATGTTACAGCTAGATACGTTAACTGATATAGATCTCTACATTTGGAGGAGGGATGTGCTACAGGTAAAATCGGTATTAGCCTTTTCAAGTCACTAAAGTAGATACACCTCAATAGGTTGAAATGATGCATTAATGACAGTCGGAATCAAACTTCTGTATCTAAATTACATTATGTACATCAAACCTTATATAGTGAAACGATATGTTTCGTCATTAGAGATGGATCCAGGTAAAGTAATTAGCCAATGATACATTAATGAATGAAAGAAACTGGCCAGGTGTTGAAAGACATCTGAAAATTATCTATGTGTGTGAGGTGACACCCCATGATGACTGTAATTGGATGTCTTTCGCCTAGAATCCACAGGAGGGCTAACACACAATGATATGGTCCGGTGTAGAATGAGAAAGTGAAGCCCATGGTAAAGTGGACCGCGGTTCATTTCATCATTACGGTGCATTACACTATTTTCTTCCATGTTATTTTTTTTCACCAGTTGTTTACTAATCACCATGATTCAATCAGGTAAACAAGTAAATAATGAAAAATAAGTCTGGGGAGGGGAAATTGGGATGGGGCAGTTGGGTTCACTTTACCGTGACCATTCTTGTGAACTAGAATTCTTTTCCTCTTGCACTAGAAGTGACTAGGGTGTAAAGATTAGTCTGCACTTAACGGTACGTTTCGTTGATTGTTATCCACATATAATCATAGGATTCACATGTCTAGATATTTATTTAAGACGTCAGTAAAATGTATTAATAGAACTAACTTCTGTATGTAAACAACAAATAAATTACAGGTTGATTTCTAGAATGAATTCATTTAGATAATGAGATGCCCGTCAATCATTTAAACACAGTAAAACATGTCAAGAAATAGTGAATGAAAAGGTCAAACTTTACCTGACGTGTCGACATTCCGGAGGATACATAGCAGAGTAAGGAGACAGTGTGAACGTCGAGCCATTCAAAATGGTAGTACTCTGTATGGAACAGCTATCAAAAGAATGTCATTTTAAAACATGACGGTCAGGGAACACTGCGACTCAGAATACAAGGAATTTTTAGATTCATACTAGGAAGTAAAATGAATGACTGGACAGCTCATTGTGTAAGTACGTGTAACACAGTTAGATGTACACACACGAGCTATGTGTATAGACAAATAAATCAGTATTGTACCCTCTCAGCATATATATACAAACGCTAAAATTAAACAAACAAACAAACAAAGAAACCTCGCTTGCTTGAATTATTTAAGTTATCATTACTGGCTAGGAAAAATGATGTAGATGAATGTATTCATATATTTAAGTCAAACGACTGACATAACACAGTTTTTACTTCAGGTAGCACCTAGAAAGACAGTTATGTTTGCGGCCTCCAGCGATTGTCTTTACGTATGTGTGTAAAGGATTAGGTGTATTCTAGAAAACAATAAACGCATGTTATTGGAAGATATTTCGCAACATCAAAAGAACTACTATTTGAAAGTCGGGACCAATATTGCCATATTAAGATATATGCTAAAGATCGTTAAAAGACACAGAAAATAACAGTGCCTTTTAATGCAATTGATAAACGGAAACCTTAGTGCCAAACAATGAATTAAACTGCATCATACAGTTGGTTTGTACTTGAGCTCGTCAGTGATGCTACATCATAAAGCTGATTTGTACTTCTTGGACTCGTCAGTGATGCTACATGCTAAATTTAGGCAGTATAAACTGGTGATATTACACGATAAATGTTGGAGATGTAAACAATATAAATTGGAGATGTAAACAGTATAAACTGGAGCTTAATTTTAATGATGGGAACTGTCAGGAGACTGAATATTTCGTTGACAGAAGTAGATCATGTGTATTTAAACGATTGTACAGTTAATACCCAAAAGTACTCAATATAAAAGGAAACTAAAAAAACAACACAGGAGAGCGTTCTCTAGCTTAGAGTAAATCACTGGTTAGTTACAATTTTTATATAAGAATTAAAGAAATCTCATTCTTTATCATTTTACAGCTGCAGAGTTGTATAAGGCAAGTGATATTGATGTTTTTTTCAGTGACCATTCTGCTTTACAAGTTGTTTTTCAGTGGCAGCTATTTATTTTTGTTCACTAACCACATGCTGATTCTAGCCAACCTTTTGAGCAATCTGGAGTCAGGTTGTCATTCTTTGTTAAAAGCACAAGGAGTCATCCACCACTACCCAATCTACACCTCCACCCCCACCCCACCTACAACTCCATCCCCACCCAATCAACACCCCCACCCCACCACACCTACACCTCCAATCCTAATCTACCTACACCTCCAACCCTACTCTACCTACACCTCTACCCCAACCCCACCTACCACTCCAACCCCACCCCATCTACACCTCTATTTCCACCCCACTTTAATCTCCAACCCCACCCTATATACACCTTCATCCCCATCCCATCCCCACCTCCACTCAAATCCATCTCCACCTCCACCCCATTCAATCTCCACTTCCAACCCATCTACACCTCCAATCCCTTCCCGTCTCCACCATCACCTCAACCTATCTACACCTCAAAACCCATTCTATCTACACCTCCAACACCTAACCTCGTCTTAACCTTCACAACTTATTCCACTCTATCTCCCCCTCCATCCCATTCTATCTACACATCCAACCCCATGCCATCTCCACCTCCAACGCCAACCCCATCAACAAATCCAAACAAACCCCATCTACACCTCAACCCCATCTCCACAACCACACCATCTACACCCCCACCCCACCTACAACTCCATCCCCACCCCATCTTCACCTCCAACCCCATCCCACCTACACCTCCATCCCCATCTCACCTACAACTCTAACTCAACTCCATCTCCAGCCCCAACCCATTTCCACCTCCAACCCCACCCCATCCCCAAATCCACCCCACCCTTTCTCTACCTCCACCGCCATTCCATCTCTATCTAAATTCCCACCACATCCCATCTCCAAATCCACCCCCATTCCATCTCAACCTCCTGCCCATCTACACCTCCAACCCCTTGTCTCCTCCACCTCCAACGCCCACCCCATCAACACCTCCAAACAAACCCATCTACATCTACATCCCCACTCAATCTTCTACTCCAACCCCTAACACTATCTACACCTCAACCTCATCTCCACAACCACACCATCTACACCTCCAGCCCACCCCATCTACACCTCTAAATGAACTCCATCTTTTCCCCCAGCCCCAACCCATTTCCACCTTCCACCCCACCCTATCTCTACTTCCACCCCTATTCCATCTCTATCTCCATTCCCACCGCATCCCATCTCCACCTCCATCCCCATTTCATCTACACCTCCAACCATTTACCCCGTCTTCACCTTCACAACTAACTCCACCTCTACCCTATCAACACCTCCACCCAACCCCATCTCCAACTCCACCCCCATTCCATTTCAACCTCCAACCCATACACATCTCCAAACCCATCGACTCTACACCTCCAAACCAACCCTATCTACACTTCCACCTCCATTCCATCTGTACTTCCAACCCCTAACCCCGTCTTCACCTTCACACCTAACTCCACCTTATCTCCACTTCCTTCTACCTTATTCACCCCATCTCGAGCTCCACTCAATCTACTACTCCAACCCCTAACTCCATCCACACCTCAACCCCATCTCCACAACCACACAATCTCCACCTTCAGCCCTATCCCATCTCCACCCCATCTACACCTCAACTCCATCTCCATCTCCAGCCCCAACTCATTTCCACCTCCAACCCCACCCCATCCCCAAATCCACCCCGCCCTATCTCTACCTCCACCGCCATTCCATCTCTATCTGAATTCCCACCGCATCCCATCTCCAAATCCACCCCATTCCATCTCAACCCTCTACCCATCTACACCTCCAACCCCTTGCCTCCTCCACCTCCAACGCCCACCCCATCAACACCTCCAAACAAACCCATCTACATCTACATCCCCACTCAATCTTCTACTCCAACCCCTAACACTATCTACACCTCAACCTCATCTCCACAACCACACCATCTATACCTCCAGCCCACCCCATCTACACCTCTAAATGAACTCCATCTTTTCCTCCAGCCCCAACCCATTTCCACCTTCCACCCCACCCTATCTCTACCTCCACCCCTATTCCATCTCTATCTCCATTCCCACCGCATCCCATCTCCACCTCCACCCCCATTTCATCTACGCCTCCAACCATTTACCCCGTCTTCACCTTCACAACTAACTCCACCTCTACCCTATCAACACCTCCACCCAACCCCATCTCCAACTCCACCCCCATTCCATTTCAACCTCCAACCCATCCACACCTCCAAACCCATCGACTCTACACCTCCAAACCAACCCTATCTACACTTCCACCTCCATTCCATCTGTACTTCCAACCCCGTCTTCACCTTCACACCTAACTCCACCTTATCTCCACTTCCTTCTACCTCATCCACCCCATTTCGAGCTCCACTCAATCTACTACTCCAACCCCTAACCCCATCCACACCTCAACCCCATCTCCACAACCACACAATCTCCACCTCCAGCCCTATCCCATCTCCACCCCATCTACACCTCAACCCCATCTCCACCTCCAGCCCTATCCCATCTCCACCCCATTTACACCTCCACTCCATCCCACCTACACCTCCATCCCCACCCCATCTACACCTCCAACCCCACCCAATCTACACCTCCAACCCTATCCCATCTACAGCTCTACTCCCGCCCCACCTACACCTCCAGCCCCAACACATCTCCACATCCAACCCCGTTCCTTCTCTGTCTCTGATTGAGATAGTGAATTTATTGTTACAAAGATAAATCTGTGTGATGATTGAAGTAAGAAAATGGATGAATCTGTGTGATGATTGAGATAGGAAATTTATTGCAACTCGGCTAAAGGTCAGACATTTTTAAGAGGAGACATCGAAGTGTTACTTTGTTTGTTAAATATGATAATCCTCTTTCTAGAATGCAAAGAGAATAAACATGAGGACATGGAGATAAAGATGAACATTTGACAATAATGTAACTGACGGTTGTAGACATTTAACATGTGAAACACGTTCTGTCGACTCATATTGCTCTGACTGTACATGATGACCCAATCAACAAATTGTGAATCATATCGGTGCAAAACCATAGACAACACTCAAGTTTTAGTGATATGATATTCTAAACAAACTTTAACATTCTGATTCATATTTAAAATATACATATGCCTTCAATTCATTTCAAGTGTGAGAGATAATTAATGATATCTCCACGCCGGATAATACTTACTCAATAGTGTGTCATACAGCCCTTTCTCTCTGTACTTGTGACAGCCGGGGCATAATGATAAAGTTGATAGATAACAAGATTCGGTGATTTCTAAGTCCTAAGGATCTAAGGAACAGTTGTCAGTTTAAATGTTCATGAAATTCAAGCGAAGATACAAGTTAATCGCAGAAAACCTCGTGCAGCTCTTTCGCTAATACAGACTTTCACGCTTGAATGATTTTGGTAACCCCCTTGGATTTTGTAATGTAAAACATTACCATTTTCTAATATTGCACAAACGTTATTTTGTTTTCACTCATTTACAGGTATTCGCCAAGGAAACATGTTAACTTTTCTTTTTTCGTTGAGTATATATATATATCAAAGCAATGAACACAGTTTTGAGTTATTACATGATAATTCGGAACGTAATTTGTCAACTTTTCGATTCATTATTCATGTTGCATCAATTCAGAAATTGGAAATCGTGTTTAATAAAGAGGTAAACTCCATCATTTTTTATTGCCTGATGTTATCATGTTAATATTTATACAACAACACATAGGGACTGGATAGCTAGACAACAGTGATATCGTGAGAACAAGTCAACAACTAAAATAAAAATAAGATTGCTAGTGCAGCATTTCTAGGTGAATTTACATAAGAGACAAGGTCACTGTGAAACATCCACTATCCGTGAGATATTATAAAGTATAAAATACCCTGATAATATTAATCAGACAGGACTTACTTGCTTATAAGATTTTTAAAATTGACACTAACTACCGGTTAACAGCCATCGGTATACAACTAGGACTTACTGTAAGTATAGCATACATTTGAACACTGACATAACTGACACGGGTCAGACACCGGTATATACAAACTGATACTAACCTCGGGTATGTCAAACACCGGTATATACAAACTGATACTAACCTCGGGTATGACAGACACCGTTATATACAAACTGATACTAACCTCGGGTATGACAGACACTGTTATATAGAAACTGACATTAACCTCGGGAATGGCAGACACCGGTATATACAAACTAATACTAACCTCGGTAATGACAGACACTGTTATACACAAACTAATACTAACCTCGGTAATGACAGACACTGTTATACACAAACTGATACTAACCTCGGGTATGACAGACACCGGTATATAAAAACTGATACTAACCTCGGGTATGACAGACACTGTTATATACAAACTGATACTAACCTCGGGTATGACAGACACCGGTATATACAAACTGATACTAACCTCGGGTATGGCAGACACCGGTATATTTAAACTGATACTAACCTCGGTAATGACAGACACTGTTATACACAAACTGATACTAACCTCGAGTATGACAGACACCGGTATATACAAACTGATACTAACCTCGGGTATGACAGACACCGGTATATACAAACTGATACTAACCTCGGGTATGGCAGACACCGGTATATTTAAACTGTTACTAACCTCAGATATGACAGACACTGTTATATACAAGCTGATACTAACCTCGGGTATGACAGACACCGGTATATACAAACTGACATTAACCTCGGGTACGACAGACACCGGTATATACAAACTTATACTAACCTAATGTATGACAGACACTGTTATATATAAGCTGATACTAACCTCGCATTTTACTCTCAAGATTTATAACTTTAGGCCGTCAGTACCACTGACGAATCCTAGGAAGATTCTAATCATTATTGTTATTTGGCTTTACTACATCTAATTCTAATTTGTATTGAATGGTGCCATTCTTTCTATGTATCCTTAACATATCCATTTTGACCGACATTATATAACACAGTTATTTCAACCCAGTGCATACATAAGTAACAGTCAAATATGTACCAAGGTTTATAATACATTAAGGAAACGCTGTAAATTTCTTGTCAAATGAGTTCTTTGAGTAGCTGCATCATATGTCGTGTATTTCGTGCTCATTCCGGCATTGATTTCACAATTAACAATTCCGGATCATATTTCTAAAATATTTCTTATCGGGTTTTAGCTTTTTGTGCATTGTTTGTTGATAGATTTAATGTATCATAATGCTTTTGTCCAATCGACATTTACCGCATAATTTTCATTATTTCACTCTAACAGTCCCATGATCACGTGACAAAGATTTTTCCTCGATTTACTACTTATCTCCCTTTAGCAACACAAGACTCAACACGATGCACCTACTCTAATAATCTTTGGAAATCAGTTCGTGTAATTTATCAATCAGGCATTATTTCATCCTTAACATTCAATTATATATGAAAATATAGATCAAAATACAAATAATTAAAATGTGTATATTCATATATCAAAATGTATGTCATGGATTTGTTCAGTATAAACGTTTAAAAATATGACACGCATTAACCAGTATCTACCATTCATGTAGTTCCTGCATAATGAAATAATGAAAAGAGTTGTTCCTTTGGTGCTAATTACTTTCAATAGCAAACTAAATTCCGGATGATTTGAAGTATTCGATCAACCCAAAGCAAATTGTACAAAATATTTATCCAAATTCTCAATCTGATCAATTACTTATTATTAATCTTTGTATAAATGCAGTACCAGATTGTAACTTTGAATAAAGTACCTTGTAGTACAAATTGATACAAAAATAGAAGCCTGATTTTTAAGTTATTGTTTTCATACTCATATATGGCAACATATGTAAAGAAGATTAAAGCAAAACAGAACAAATCTGTATATTCAAATGGCATATCAACATATAGAGATAATTGTCCTAATTAGGGTAATGGGGAAACATTTAACCAAGAGAATTCTCAAGCAATAGGAATACAGGCTAAAGCAATATTCTTGAATTTCTAAGCGTATGAAAGATCTCAAAATGTTTTGTTATATAAGATTCCAAAGACTTTTCCACCATGTATTTTTCACTGACGAACGTTTTATTTGACAATACATTAACCAATGGCATAGCGACCGAAGTCCTATTTAATTGTGCATCGATAAACTTATTTTAACTTCAGTTCAGTACAATAGTTTCTTGTGTGTATAATTAAAAAGTTATTTTTCAGATGCAATCTAACGATAGCACTGCTACCTTAATTGTCTAATACAGAAAAAAAAGATAATAACAAAAACAAATACAAAACAAACTTGCTTTGACAAGTGCTGTCTAGGTAAAATATCGTCAACATTCGCATTTAAGGCATAGCAAATTACGAATATTGAAACATTGAAAACATTTATCTAAATATCATTTAATCAACAAATGCAATTTAAAGAGTGTATGTGTTTGTAAATCAACACAAACAAACCAAAACAGATAATAACGTTTGTAACATAGTTCAATATCATGCACACAATAATAATTATGATATAGTAATATGAGAATATATAGTAGTTCTTATATACAGCTTTATCAAAGAAACATTGCGGTTTCAAAACGGTTCACTAATAAGTATCAATAGTTATGAAGTCTCTTACTACTTCGGTTATAACCTCATCAAACGGAGCTGTTATAAGGCGTTAACATCGTGTGCACATTTTCAGCTCTCCCTAAATACGTACTCTTTTACAACTAAGTCGACAAAGAAACAAGTAAAGTATCTTGTCCCAGTAGGTAACACGGCGCCCATGTTAGGAGGAGAACACGTGTTCCTCCATTCACTAGCCCAAAGCATTTACCTAGACTACCATACCACTTGTAGTCGCTAAGTAGAACCTTTTATAAATACTTACCAGTACATGTATATATAAGTAGCACATCGTGCGGTCTTGCTCATTTTGAGAAATATTGATACATGTGAATTGCAGTAGTCGATAGGTAGTTGAACCATTATTTACAAGTCGATAGTAAAAGTATACTCTTTTGTCAAATGAATACACAGTTGCATTGCGATAGTCGGTCGCGAGCTAGTTGAAGTATAATCTACTAGATGATGAAAAATAGTCGCATTCTATTGTACAATTACTGTCGTAGCAAAAGGACTTTTGCCGACTCCATGGGCTCATATCGAATTTTCTGTCTCCAGGTTTTATTTACTGTCACTCCCTGAATCTTCTTAGTTGATGTACACGTCGGTTGCCTCTAGATAATCATTCAGGAGGGCATAGCAGAAGTAATACTGCTCCTGTGAACGAATGACATTTTTAAATTATCTCCTCGAACGCTACAATTGTTCTTATCAAGTTCCAACTAAACAGAAAGTTATATTTTCATTGACATATTTTGACATTCTTTTGTCTTTACGGTCAATAAAAGCGTTTACGAACTTTGGTATGTAAACAAATGCTGCCTCGTGATGTAAACATTTTTTTTTCTTTTCTTTCGAAATTTTTACTTACAAAACTGCTCAAAAACTCTGGTCGCCTGATAAGAAGTTGTCGTGCAGCCTGAAATACATCCACCTCTTCGTCCATTTTGATCTGGTCACGGGTGTTCGCCATCAGGCAAAATAGTCCACATTGGGTTGACCCGTCCCTGTCAAATTGAAAACAATAAAGTTAAAAAGATGTGAAACAAAATGTAACCATGCCGAGGATCATCAAGTAACCATCGA